TTTTTTCCTTTTAATTGTCCAATTGACTCCTCCAGCAGAAGAGCAAACTTCGGTTCCAGATCCTTCCCTGGCTTTGACTAAGCAGTCATGCATGAACCCAGGGCGGGTGAGATCAGGCACTGGTCGGTCTGCTACAGCCGTCTAAGGATATAGCACGCCAAGACCCCAGGAAGGCTTTCCCCAGCAAGGGCGAGGCCCACAGGTACAGTGACCACTCCAAGGTCATTGCGGAGAGGCTGCCTGCAGCCAGAGCGCCCTCTGCCCTATCCCGAGCGGCGACCCCACTGCTCCCACAGGCTCCGCAGCAGGGACGCCCCACATTGCCCCAAGGCTACCTCCTAGCCCCCGACCCTAAGCTTGGTGCCCCCAACCCTCTGCGAGGGGCCGAGACCCCCGCGAGTCACACGGCGGCGTAGCTCACATCGGCCCCCTCATCCTTTTCGCCCTCTCAACCCAGCTTTTCCCGACTCCGGGAAGAACCGGGAAGAGAAGGCGGAGGGCAGCGAGGCGCCGTCTAATAAATACTCTGGCCCGATCCCGCCCCTTGATGTCACTTCCGCCCCACGGTAAGATGGCGACTCCCGGGCGCTGCCACGCAGACTTCCGCCTGGCACGGACACCCGAGGCCGGTAACGGGTCGCGCCGGGGGTGAGGTCGTGACGAGCGGTGTGGAGCCTCAGTGCAGGTGCGAGTCGGCATCGTGCCCGGCAGGGGGACGGGGAAGACAGCAGGTGCGATCCCAGGGCTCGAACCCGGGCGCCCGGGAGAGCCTTGCCACGTGGGACGGGGAGGAGCCGAGGCGGCGCCGCGCTGACGGGGGCAGGGAAGCCACGTGGGTGGGGTCGGGCCCTGCGAGTCACTGCGTTGCCCATTTTCTCGCAGGCGACATGTCGGAAGGAAACGCCGCGGGCGAGTCCAGCAACCCTGGAGGGCCGCGACCCCTTCTCTCTGGGGGCCGCGGGCTGGTCGGCCGGAGGCCCGCGCCCCCACTCACGCCGGGCCGCCTTCCCTCCATCCGCTCCCGGGACCTCACCCTCGGCGGAGTCAAGAAGGTACCTGCGAGCGCATTTGCAAAAAAATCCCAACTGTGTTGCGTTCCAGGCCCCGGGATGCGTCACGTGTTGTTCTTGCAGGGCGTGTTGTGTGCCTGGTGAGATGTCTGTCTAAGGAGCCTGTTCTTTGCTCAAGTCCAGGTGCTGGTAGAAGATACCACGATGGTTCTTGTAGGCAGTTCAAGGGCAGACATCCTAGGTAGCCGAAGACGTTCAAAAGCGACTTGAGCCCTGCTTCTTTATTTTTATTGTGTTTTGGACGCCTTTAACAATCCCGTGAAAGTCAAGCAGGCATAAACCTGCAACTTTAGGGTTCAGAACTCTGTGGATGCCAGTATGGAAACTAATAATCTCCTGTATGATGAATCTTGGCCTTGGCAATGAGATATTCTTTGCCGGCTTCCATTATGTGTATAACTAGATGTAAAAGGTAGCCCCAAAAGGAGAGCACAATGACAGACGTTGCAGCTTAGCTTTGACTCTGCTACTTTGGGTGACAGTTTACCTGTGTCTTTGTGCATGCTGGCAGATCTGTCTTTACATAAACCTTCCTAGAATTGTCTTCCTAGAATTGTCTTCTGGGCTGTATAGCACTGAAGACAAGTGAGATTGGGTCCGTTACTGTGCTTTTAGAAGGATATTTAGGAATCTCACCTCGCAAAGGCCAGAAGCTGAGGTTGCTGGTTAGGATGGTTTGGGAGACACATGCCTGGCTCTATAAAACAGCAGTTGTCAGATGTGCAGGAGAGATCCACAGTGATTTTGGTGCCCATTGAGAACCCTTATCTTCCTCTGTACTTTGAGATCAGGATTTACTGAATCTGTGACTACCATATTTTACTTTTCAGAAAACATTCACCCCAAACATCATCAGTCGGAAGATCAAGGAAGAGTAAGTAGCTGGTCTCCTGAATACTTGGGCTTTACTGGCTTGCTCCATATTTGGGGAAGTATTAGGTATGTAGCTCAGAAATTTCCATTTATGCCATCAGTTTGTTTCACTAATGATTTTCAGCCCTCCTTCCTAAGTTAGTCTCATTGTAAGTTTTAAAGAACATTAATGGCACTATATGTTAGAATTCTTCTTTTTGTAATAAATATCTCTCGTCACCTTTTTATAAAGGGAAAATATGTATTTTGACACTCATAGTTTTGGAGCTTTAAGTCCATGATCAGTGGCCCTGTTGCTTGGGGCCTATAATGAGGCAATATGACAGAGAGCACTTGAAGGAGAAAAGAAGAGGAGTGGCTGAGCTTCTGTGTTCTTTCAGGGACATACCATAGTAACTGGTCGACCACCCAGTAAGTTCCATCTCTTAAAGTTCAACCACCTCCCAATGCTAAGATGGGACCGAGCTCTTCATACACACTTTCCTTTAAGCTCCTTTGCATTCCGGCCCTTCCTGCTTTCAGTCAGTGTGAAAAACCCACATTTTGGACAAGAAGGTTTACTTTACTTTAGTAAAGCAAACTGAAAGGCCCTGGCCTCATCCAGGAAGTGAAAGTGCCAGCAAAGAACCGGGCTCTGCCTCTCACAGTATTATTTTTCAGCTCATAAACTCCGCTCAGTTGGATGAAGTGGGATGGGTGAGGAAGGCCAATTTTCTGAGGCAGAAGTAGCTAATTTCCTTTCATCTATTCTCATCCCAGGCCCAAGGAAGAAGTAACCATGAAGAAGGAAAAGCGTGAACGGGATAGAGACCGCCAACGTGAGGGGCATGGACGGGGCCGAGGCCGCCCAGAAGTGATCCAGTCCCACTCTATCTTCGAGCAGGGTCCTGCAGAAATGATGAAGAAAAAAGGTACCAGGAAGGGATCAGAACTGAAGAAGACAGAGCAAACAGGAAGTCTCCTTCCCTAGTTCAGTCTTGCTGTTGCCTTCTTATTTATCCCTAGTGAACAAGGTGATTTCCCACAGGAAACTGGGATAAGACGGTGGATATGTCAGACCTGGGACCCTCTCATATCATCAACATCAAAAAAGAGAAGAGAGAAACAGATGAAGAAACCAAGCAGATCTTGCGCATGCTGGAGAAGGATGATGTAGGTACCTGGAGCGCTGTAGCTACCAAAGAGGACTTCTGGAGTGGAGAGCTCACAGAATTCCTGGAGCCTTTGATTACAGAAGCACTAAAATGGGGCTGGGGCTATAGCTCAGAGGTAGAGTGCTTGCCTAGCATGGGCAAGGCCCTAGAGTCAATCCCAAATAACACACACTCACACACATGAAAAGCAAAGAAAGGGAAGGAAGGAAGGAAGGAAGGAAGGAAGGAAGGAAGGAACGAACGAACTAACTAACTAACTAACTAACTAACTAACTAACTAACTAACTAACTGACCGACAGTGGACTGAGGTGCAGTGTTCTGGTATTCTCTGTAACTCCAACTTTTTGGCAGTTCATTGATGACCCTGGGCTGAAGAATGACACCCGGAACATGCCGGTGCAGCTGCCACTTGCTCACTCAGGGTGGCTTTTTAAGGAGGAGAATGAAGAGCCAGATGTTAAGTCTTGGCCAGCTGGCCCCAAGGAAGAAGACATGGAAGTGGACATGCCTGCTGTCAAAGGTATTCTGTGTCAGTTTACCTTCCAGTTCCCTGGCCATCCTAGGAACCCTCACACGAGCCTCCAAGATGCTGCTCACAAGCAGTTCCAGGCACTAAACGACACATAAGCTCTCCCCAAGAGTTAATGTGTCACTGCAGACCAGCACTCAGCTGAGTGCACTCAGCCTCAGCTGTCCCTTTTGAGAAAAGTCACACACCTCTTGAATGTATCTCCTGCTCCTCTCCATAGCTAGCCTCGCCCGCCAGACTCCTGGCTGAGCAGCAGTGGAACAAATAGGTGTGAAGGGCTGGGGACAAGAAGATGGCTTAGGCTGGGCGTGGTGGCATATGCCTTTAGTCCCAGCACTTGGGAGGCAGAGGCAGGCAGATCTCGTGAGTTCAAGGCCAGCCTGGTCTACAACGTGAGTTACAGGCCAGCCGGGTCTACAGGGAGACCCTGTCTGAAAAAGACCAAAAAAAACCCCAGCAGATGGCTTAGTGGACAGCTGCTTGATGTCGTTTCCTTTGTCTCACCTTGGGCAGTGAAAGAGGAACCACAGGATGAAGAGGAGGAGGCCAAGATGAAGGCCCCTCCCACAGCAGCCAGAAAGACCCCAGGCCTCCCAAAGGATGTGTCTGTTGCAGAGCTGCTCAGGGAATTGAGCCTCACCAAGGATGAAGAACTGCTGTTTCTCCAGCTGCCTGACACCCTTCCTGGGCAACCGCCCACTCAGGACATCAAGCCTATCAAGACAGAGGTGCAGGGCGAGGATGGACAGATGGTGGTCATAAAGCAGGAGAAAGACCGGGTAGGCTCAGGACCAAGTGATGGGAAATCCCAGGGTGGGGACATTGGGAATAGAGGGTGGCATGTAGGGAGACAGGTGTGCTGCTCAAGCCGAGCTATGAGAACATTGGGTGTTCTTAGCACCTGCAAGAGCCTTGTACTTCCAACCCCAGTTGTCCAAAATGAACGAACAAGGGCTAGGCATGGTGCCACATGCCTTTAATCCCCGCACGCAGGAGGCGGAGGCAGGCAGATCTATGTAAGATGGAGGCCAGAGAGTTCCAGGCCAGCTTGGGCTACGGGGAGACCCTGCCTACAAACAAAAAAACACCAACCCCAGCTGGGTGTGGTGGCCCACACCTTTGATCCAGCACTCTGGAGGCAGATCTCTGTGAGTTCAAGGCCAGCTGGGGCTCAAAAAGACCTCCCCCCCAAAAAAATAAAACAACCCCAATCGTGCACTGTGTGTGTTTGTACGTGTTTACTTTTTTTTTTTTTTGGTCTTTTTGAGGCGGTCTCCCTATAGCCCCAGCTGTCCTGAAACTCACTATGTAGACCAGGCTGGCCTTGAACTCACAGAGATCCACCTGCCTCTGCCTCCCGAGTGTTGGGGTCAAAGGCGTGCGCCACCACGCCCAGCTATGTTTACTTTTTGTAATGATAATTTCAGATGTAGACAGGTGAGAGGTCCTAACCTCCTGTACACCATCACAGTTTCAGCAGTTACAGATATTTTATACGCTCAAGTGCTGTGGGTTTTATTTCCTAGCCAGTGGCAGACAGTTCTAGGACAAGGCCTTTGTGGAGATCTCTCTCTTTGGGAAGAAGAATGGGATTCATTCATGAAAGATATTGCCCAGTGAGCTACCCACTGCTTCTCTCCCCAGGAAGCCAGGCTGGCAGAGAACGCTTGTACCTTGGCTGACCTGACAGAGGGTCAGGTGGGCAAGCTGCTCATCCGCAAGTCGGGGAAGGTACAGCTCCTCCTGGGCAAGGTGACCCTGGATGTGACAATGGGAACCACATGCTCTTTCTTGCAGGTGAGAGCTCGTGGGCCAGGGAGAGGCCCTGGAGAGGCTGGGAAGTGGAGCAGTCAGGGCTGAAGTGGAGAGGGGAGTACTTGGGTCACAGGACTGAGTATGGGTGTATGGTTCTCACTGATGTCTCTTGATTGGCAGGAGCTGGTGTCTGTGGGCCTTGGAGATAGTAGGACGGGAGAGATGACAGTCTTGGGACATGTAAAGCACAAACTCGTGTGCTCTCCTGATTTTGAATCCCTCTTGGATCACAAACACCGGTAAAATGAGCAGATGGAGGAGGATGGTAACTGTGCCCACGGCTGCTGCCTGCTCCAGACGTTTTGTTCTCAGATCTGTACGACCCAGAAGGGGCCTATTTAGCCCACCCACTGCAGCCTTTGGCAGCCGATGTCCCAATTTCTCCCCACTGGGGCCCACGCTGCTCCCTCCTCCCTGGCAGCTGTGAATGGCACAGTGACCTTCCCCCAGCATGGATCTGGAAAGCACATCCTCGCTGCTGGGGACTTGGCCCTGATATTTATTTTTATATTTATGTCTTGATCTCCACAAGTGTCTGCATCCTTCCAAGGTAGGGTGGTGCAGGTTCCTTGTCCCGGAGCCTTGGGCTACAGTGTGGGAAGGGGAGGGCTGCAGCTCTGGCTTCTCTTCCCTCTTGGGAGGCTGATAGGAAGGAGGATAAGGATGGAGTCCGAGACTTAAGACTCATGAGCTCGTTGGTTCCTGGTTCTGTGACCTGGGACACACTCCCTAACCTTTCTGAGCCTCGTATTCCTCATCTCGAAAAAAATGAGGATAATACCTACCTCACAGGGTTGGTGTGAGGATCAAGTGGAGTACCGTGAGTAAAATCTCCTTGCACAAGACCAGACATGGATCCACAGGCTCTCAATAAATGTTGATTTCCCTTTCCTTTCCTTGAGTCTATTTTTAAAGAAAACAAACGTTATAAAAGTCTTCAAAGAAGTGACTGGAACTGCTCATAACCTTCCTTTTGTCCCTTTGTTGCTCATTTTTTAATAATTCAGTGTGAAACTCAAGACCTGGGGCATACTAGACTGGTCTTCCTGTATGAGTTTCTGTAGATTCTGTTGTAAGACGTGAGAGACCCCTCCTGACACCCTGCAAAGGCCTTTTGACGGAGTGGTGGCTGAGACTTACTCTCAGCCCTCTCTCCTGCAGAAAGTGGCTAGTAGAATAACTCCGTAAAAATACTTCTCAAAAGAAACCTTTGGCTACAGAATCACCACCATTCTATGCCCACTAGGGCTTAAAAGAACAAGAAGACAGCCTGGTTAAGATGGAGATTGACACTTGACAGGTGACTACTTCAAAGCCTCAGTGTTTGAGAGGTCCCCCATGTGTCCTGTTCTAGCATCACCAGGTGTGCTGTGCAGCGTGCACTGCCCGGTCCCCATTGCCAGGCTCACTGCTGAATTTGTAAGTCCGTAATCTTGCTTCCTTCATTGTCGTCATTGTGCCCTGTGTAGCACCTGGTGGAACAGCTTCTCTTCTCAGGGCAGAGACAGGTTGGAGCAAAGCCACACTAGTGGCTCGGCTCCCTCTGCTGGCATTTTAGCAGGTAGCCTGTCAGCAATGCTTAGTCTCCCTTTCCATTCTACTCTGAAATCTTTGATTTATTGAGCACTGCTGGGGCTTTTACCGCCAGTGTCTCAGGCTGCCCAGCCAGTAGCTGTAAAGGAGATCGAATAGTGACTACGTTGCTCTTTCTGGAACCAAACCTTGTTGGCTCGGTAGATAGTGGTGGTAAGGTCTTCTTCATTCAGCATGGAAACTGAAACAGTTCCTTGGAAGTATATGCCATGGAATGCTATCTGGTCTAAGACTAGACTCTGATTGGCTCTGGCCTCCAGCTCTTTTTTCTTTTAAATAGCTAATGTGCTGCCCTTGGGTGTCTGGTAATAATCCTCCCTGTGTGTTTTCTTTGGTTCAGAAATACATTTCTGCTTTTTTTTTTTTTTTTTACTAACCCAATGATCTGGTATTTAGATGTTTGGTATTTTGCAATCCTTAGTTCTTTGGTTTTTCGAGAGAGTTTCTCTCACGTAGCTCAGGCTGGCTTTAAACTCAATTCTGCTTCAGCCTCTTGAGTACTAGACTATAGGCTTGCACCAACATGGGCAGCAGTCTTTGAGTTTTTTGACTTTAACACAAAAACTCAGGGAAAAGCATGTACCACTTTTGAGTTCATTTTACCATCTCAGATGCCTAAGAAAGTAAAGCTTGAGACTGTGTCAGAGTCCTCACCACCTGTCTTTAGGTTCCAGATGCACAAGTTAGAGCTCATCAGTAAAAGTGGGAAAAGATGAGGCAAGTCTGCTTGCTTGGCTGAGCCTTCAAAGCATGTATTTCTACCAATAAATATGTGCAAATAACAGGAGAAAAGCCCAAAGGCAAATTGATAGAAGGGTGCAAATGGATGCAAATTTATTACTACCTGCATCTGTGTATGTGTACATTGTGTCAGAAACAGAAAAGGATAGGCTTGTTCATTTATATAAGTGACAGTGTAGGCTTTTTTAAAAATATGAGTGTATTGCCTCCATTATGTAAGTACACCATGCCATGCAATGCTCTCAGAGGTCAGAGGAGGTCATCATATCCCCTGGAACTGGAGTTACGGATGGTTTTTAGCCACCATGTGGGTGCTGGGATTAGAACCCAGGTCCTCTGCATAAGCAACCAGTACTTTTATTCACTGAGCCATCTCTCCAGCCTTGGCAGTACAGGCTCTAGTCAGGCTTAGGATTGGCTCCAACCCCACCAGTAACCTTGGGGAGAAAAAACTCACTTGTTGAGCTGAAGAGGTGACTCAGGTTAAGAGCGCTTGCTGTTCTTCCAGAGGACCTGGGTTCAATTCCCAGCACCCATATGGTGACTCTGCTGCCCTCTTCTGGCCTTTGGGGGCCCTGTACACATGCCAGTAAACATACCAACAACCAAAACGCCTGTACAAATAAATAAACTATTCAAAAAAATTCACTTGCCAGACGTAGTGGCACACAGCTTTAATCCCAGCACTCAGGAGTCAGAGCCTAGTCTACATAGTGAGTTCTGGGACACTATGGGCTGGAACTTGGGGCTACAGGGAGACTCTGTCTCTCAAAAAAAAAAAAAAAAATCACTTGTCCACCCTAGGCTCTTTATTTTCTAGAAGAATAACATCATAGCTTTCGTGATAGTGTTGCTTTTTAAAATTTAATTTAAAAAAATTTTTTTTTCTGGTCTTTTTTGAGACAGAGTCTCCTTGTAGCCCCAGCTCGCCTGGAATTCACTACGTAGACCAGGCTGGCCTTGAACTCACAAAGATCCGCCTGCCTCTGCCTCCCAAGTGCTGGGACTAAAGGTGTGTGCCACCACGCCTGGCAATATTTTATTTTTTAATTTTATGTGTATGAGTGTTGTCTGCATGTATGTAAGGTACCCCTGTTGTGCAATGCCCATAAAGGTGTCAGATCCCCTGGAACTGGAGTTATAGACAGTTGTTAGCCACCACATGGATGCTGGAAATCAAACCTAGGTCCTCTGCAAGAGCAGCCATTGCTCTTAACTGCTGAGCCATCTCTCCAGCCCCACCTTTTTTATTAAAACATTTTGTGTGGAGGTCAGAGAACAGCTTTCCAGAGTCAGCCCCTGCTTTGTTGATGCAAGGTTTCTCTTCATTTCTGCTGCTGCTTTTTACCTGGTTCTGGGGATCAAACTCAAGTCAGGAGGCTTCTATAGCAACTACTTTTACCCACTGAGCTATCTCCCTGGCTTCCTGTTGCTGTTAAATTAGGAGTGGTCATGAAGCATTTATTGGGTCCCAGACAGATGTGTGCCTATAGCAGGCACTTTTGATCAGCACAACTTAGAGAAAACTGGACTATGACTTAAGGATGGCAACATCTGGAAATAGCTATTTCTAGAATTGAATGGCAACCAAAATCCTACAATGTATGCTGGATGGCTTTAGTTGTCAACTTGACCCCTGGGTAGAGGGAGCCTCAATTGGGGAATTGCCTCCATTGAACTGGCCTGTGGCCATGTCTGTGGAACATTTTCTTGTTGAGTGATGTGGGAGGGCCCAGCCCACTGTGGGCAGTGCCACCCCTAGGCTGGTGGTTCTGCATTGTATAAGAAAGCAAGCAGAGCACAAGCTCAGGGAGCAAGCCGGTAAGCAGTATTCCTCCATGGCCTGTGCTTCAGCTCCTGTCTCCAGGTTCCTACCTTGGGTTCCCTTAGTGATGAACTGTGACCTGGGAGATGTAAGCCAAATAAATCTTTTGGTCAGTGTTTCATCACACCAATGAAGGCAGACTAGAACACCAAGGCTTTCTTGGATCCATTTGCTTGGTCGCCCTCAGTGTTGCAAGGTGGTTATTACAGCTCTCAGCCTTGTTTCATTAGTGTGCAAATCTATGGTCTTCCATTTTCTGCTGTAACAAAATATCTGAGGCTGGGTATATTATAATGAAAGGTTTACTTGGCTCACAGTTTTGGACACACAATAGCATGGCACCTGCATCTGCTGGCTGTAGCCAGGGCCCTATGGCCACCATGCCCGGCCCCTGTCAGAAATAATTTTTAAAAGTACTCTAAAATGGGCATGGTGGCGCATGCCTTTAATCCCAACACTCGGGAGGCAGAGGCAGGCGATCTCTGTGAGTTTGAGGCCAGCGTGGTCTACATAGTGAGTTCCAGGACAGCTGGGGCCACCCGTCTCAAAAAGACCAAAAAAAAAATTTTCTGATAAATTACAATTCAATACAAACATTTTTTCATGGCTATTCCGGGTGTTGTGCTGCTAGAAATTATTATACACTAGTGTGTTGGTCTAGTGGCCTGGTTACATTTAACACTTTTTTGGACCATGAGGACATTTGTTTCACTTGGCTTTAAGATAATGGAGATTGCTCTCATTTTCTTATTTTAATCACTAGGCTTATTGGGGCAATAAGTTTGATGAACAATAGACTATATGAGCTGCCTTAGAAGAGATCATCAGTGCTTGTTAAACTTCTGGGTTAATTGACTTGAAATGCTCAGAAATTGAGTGTTAACATCTACTTATGAAAACAGGCAAAAAGCCTAAGTCTTTATAACCTTAAGTAAACTAAATAATAAACATTTTCTGATCTTAAAAAAAAAGGGAAGGACAGACCAGTTTACTTCAGAGCCTTGAACGTACTCCCCTGTGAGATGGAATTTTGTTAGTAGGAAACCCCTGGGGAAGTAGTTAGGCAGATTTCTAACAGTAGCCACCATATTTTAAATACCATAGTGTTAGGCTAGTGTAGTGGTGCACACAGCTAATTCCAGTACTCGGGAGGCTAAGAGAGAGAACTGAGTTTGAAGCCACCCCAGATGCCAGGGTTAGTGTTTGTCAACTTGACACAAACTAGAATCACCTGGGAAGAAGGAGCCTCAACTCTTGATTGACCTGTGGGCATGTCTGTGTGGTATTAACTGTTAATTGATATAGGATGGCCCAGGCTGGGGTGATTTCATCCCATCACTGTGGGTGATTCCATCCCTGGGCAGGTGGATCTCAGCTGTATAAGAAAAATAGGTGAACAAGTCAGTAAACAGTGATCCTCCATGGTCTCTGCTTCAGTTCCTACCTCTAGGTTCCTGCCTTGACTTCCCTCAAACGATGGACTGTAACTTGTAAGCTGAAATAAACCCTTTCCTCCCCAGGTTGGTTCTGGTCAGTGTTTATCACAACAGAGGAACCAAACTAGAATACTAGACTATATAGCAAATACCAGACCAGCCAGCTAGGACTGTGTGGACCCTGTCTAAACAACACAAATAGAAAAAAACAGCCAAATCATAAACGTACATCCAGACATCCAGGTAGAATTTTTTTGTTCATTTTTATTATATTTTTTTTTTTTTAACTTTAAAAAAAT